AAAAAAAAAAAAAAAAAAGAGAAATGCCACCCAGAGGACAGGGCATTGGCACAGACAAGTAGGACATTGTTGAAATGGAGTATGCTAGGGAGGTGCTTAGAAATTACAGGCTACGCTGGATATGGTAGCAAACGGCTGTAATCCCAGCACTCGAGGAGCACCATGAGTCTGAGGCCAGCCTGAGTTACACAGTGAGTTCAAGGCCCACCTGAAATACACAGTAAGACTGTATCTCAGTGAAGGAATCATGGGCTGACACCTACTTAAATCAAGTCTAAGTGCCAATGCAGGGTAGGGCCCATTTCCACGAATTGAGGCCTCAGTGTGGGGCAAAGAACTTTAAGACTGGAATGGACAATTGGCTCTGCTGTCACCTCTGACAGGAATGAACCACAGGACTTTATGCAGAACGGCTCCTTTGCAGATCACCTGACAATCTGAGGATAAAGCCAGGTGCTATCTAGGATATTCTTTCAATGTGACTATGATTCAGAAAAATCTAATGTAGTCTTAGTATTTTACTAGTAAGAGTAATAATAAAGTAATAATAATAATAAAGTAATAATAAAATAAGTTAGTAAAAGTTACTTGATGAGGTCAAGGCAGGAGGATCACAGTGGGTTTGAGGCTAGCCTGGGCTACAAATGCAGTTAAAGGCCAGCTAAACTATACAGTGAAACCCTGTAACTTCACAAAGCAAAGCAAAGCAAAATGAACAGCAAAGCAAAGCGAAACAAAACAAAAAAGTTACCCAAGGTAGAAATCTCTAAGGATATGAAATCTTTCAGATATCAAGCTCTTGGCCTCAGCAAGCTGCAGGCCCAGCCTACCCTTTATTTATAACTGAAGTTAGTTTGCTATTTCTCAATTTATATTTTCTCCTCTGCCAAAGATTCACTTATTTTTCAGAACAGATTTTTCTCTCTTGTTCTATTAATCTTTCTTTTTTTTGTTTTTTATGGCACTGGGGATTGAACTCAGGACCTTGAGCTTGCCAGGCAGACACTTATGCCCTTGAGCTGCCTCCCCAGCCCTATTAATCTTTCTACAAATAGGCAAAAATTATTTTATGAGACTCTTTTATTAATTTCTCAAAAGAGTTCAACCTGTGTCTCATGCAAAAAAATGTTATCTAAAAAGCCATACTAAAATATATTCTAATTTTTAAATGTTTTTTATCATATTCTGTAGGGACTTAAAGTTCAACATATCAATACTCGATGAAAAATACCTATTCCATATTATACCTAAGATGTTTGATATGCAGACAGATAGTGAGGTTAAGATTAACAGCCTAAGTTATATGGTAATAACAATAAGCTTGTCTTCTGGATGGTTAACCACCTAAGTTTGCAGACCAAAATTAAAGAAAAAGGAGAGCTGCAAGGAAAGCCAATATTTTGGCCCTAGCCTTCCAAGGTCAATTAAGACTCAGGACAGATGAAAACCTGTACTGTAACGTCATGTAACTCAGTAGTGTCCCAAATTTTCTGATCAAGGAGATTATGGGGCCAAAGAGGAAAGTGATTGATGATACAGAGTGTGCCTAAGGAGAGTCACTTGGCGAGAAAACATTCTCTCAGGCTTTCACAGAGAGCACATTGGCCAAGCAATGGCCGTGACTCATCCACATGGCTGACACGGACAAAGGCTCTACAATCTGAGGTACAGGATCTCAGGATAAATCCTGAGGGGATTTCACTGACCTTATCAGACCCAAAAGCTACAACTCTTGTTGCATAGGTCCTGCTTTCCCTTGGTCTTAACCATCCAGCAGAAAAGTATAAAAACGAAATATAAGAAGTAAAGCCATGCTGTTATGTTGAGCTATAGGGGACTCGGGTCAACAATTTGTGACATTGCCAGTGAAGCGGAAGACCCAATACTATTATGGGCTACTGGCCTCTTTTAGAGTATTTTACTGAGTTTACACACCTATAATATTCAAATAACAGAACTTAACAAAAAAAGGGGATACAGATGAATGTCCATTTTGTATCTGTGTATTCAAAGTGGTTAAGATAGATATATAGTTACATTCTCTTAATGAATAGAGTGATTTGTTCTAATGGTGTTTGTAAATAGGATATCATGTCTGCATCTTATACAGCAATTAACCACTAAGAAGAATGTATGCAATGTGTGAATTATTGAAACTGTCCTACCAATTTGATTTGAAAATGTCTCATTACTATTTGTTTATCAATAAAATTATGGTGAAAAAATGCATCTATTTGAATGAATAGATGAAAAACACAACAATTTGAAGTATACAATTCAATGACTTTGGGTAAACTTACAGAGACCAGAAACCATCATTTTAATCCAGTTTCACAATGTTTCATGGCCAGAAAAAGGTCCTCCTTGGTCATCTGTAATCAGTCTTTACTCTCTGCCTACACAACTGCTATTCTTCTGTCTAAAACTTAAGCTATTTCTAGGTGCTTCACCTAAATAGAATTAGTCTTTTACATTGGGATCTTCCACTGGAGGTCCTCCCACATTGTAGCACCTATTAGTATGAGATTCCTTTTTATGGCTTAATAGAACTCTTTTCTACAGTTATGTAATATTTTCTTCATTGCCAGTTGGTAGACATTTGATTTGCCTCTGTTTAGCTACCATGAATAATCTGTTATAAGCATTAATGTACAATATTTATTATGAGGGAGATTTTCATTTCTCTAAGATAGCCTGTACTATTATGGACTATTGGATTCTTTTAGAATATTTTCCTGAGTTAACACACCTATAATACTCAAATGATAGAACTAAACAAAAGGGGATACAGATGAATGTCCATTTTGTATCTGTGTATTCAAGATGGTTAGGATAGCTATATAGTTACATTCTCTTAATGAATACAGGGATTTGTTCTAATAGTGTTTGTAAATAGGATATCATGTCCACATCTTGTACAGCAAATAACCAATAGGAAGAGAATATGCAACATGTTAATTATTTTTTTTTTAAAACATTTATTTATTTATTTATTGTGTGGCCAGCTCAGCCCACCAGGGGGCGGGGCTGGCTGGCATGTGGTGCTGGGGGATTGAACCGTGGTCCCTGTGCTTTGCTAAGCTTGTTCTAAGTAGGTGCTTTAGACCACTGAGCCATCTCGCCAGCCCCAACATGTTAATTATTGAAACTGTCCTACCAACTTGATTTGAAACTGTCTCATTGCTATTTGTTTCTCAACAAAATTATGGAAAAAAATTAAAAATAAAAATAAATAAAATAAAAAGGATAAAAAAATAAAAATAAAAAGCCATACTAAAACAGGGCTGCAGATTCCCCAAGTTGTAAACACTGGCTGTCACTTATTCAGAGACTTTAGGAAGACGACATAACTAAACTTTATCATTCATAACTAAACTTATCATTCTTTTTTTTTTTTAATATTTATTTATTTTGTGTGTGGCCAGCTCAGCCCACCAGGGGGCGGGCGGGCTGGCATGTGGTGCTGGGGGATTGAACCGAGGTCCCTGTGCTTTGCTTGGCTTAGCTTGTTCTAAGTAGGTGCTTTAGACCACTGAACCATCTCACCAGCCCCAACTTATCATTCTTTAACACTAGGCCCTGCATTGTGAATGGCTGAGAGAGGATTAAAGGAGTTAATGTACATAAAGAAATCAAGAGTAGTTTCACTACTGAAACTCACTGGACATGTCCTCTCCCTTATCCCGAGAAGCCAGTGCTGATTAGGCCTCACAAGGACCTGTCACCATAGCTTAAGCCTCCTGTTCTCTCTCTGCCTTCTCCTTCAAGTAAATTACTTCTAAAGAGCCAGAGAGGCAGCCAACTTGGTGAGGATGATAAAGAAAGCATTACAAGATTCTGTCATTCCTACTATATGAAAGCATTTCTCCGCTTCTTGGCCAGGGTTTCAGCCTAGCATATGATGCCTAGGCTCCTCCAATTTTCTTCTCTTTTTTTTCTATTGGCGGAACCGGGGATTGAACTCAGGCCCTTGTACTTGCCAGGGAAGCGCTTATTCCACTGAGCCATCTCCCCGGCCCTCCTCCAATTTCCTTTACCATATTAAATCACCATGAGGCATGTTTGCATGGGAGATCCTTGCACATCGTGAGTGTGCAGCACAGCAGGAAGGCCCATAGCCCTTCCAGCAAAACAAGACGTGTGGGAGGCAGCTCAGCCTCCACCAATCCTCTGCTCCCGAACAACTCTGACAAGCAAATGTGGCTCACAATATGATCAGTTTCCGGATGATACCTAAAGTGAGGGTGAACTGGGAAGTTGGAGATCATTGGAAGCAGCCCAGTTTCTCACATGCAAACACATGTTGCTGGATCACAGGGAGATAAGCCGGAGGAGGCAGGATATCACTGACATAATGTGCAAATGACCCTCTGCAGGATTAGACAATAGCAAATTATTAAATTTGATATAAAATTATACCTACAAAGAGTATATGAGGGCTGGGGAGATAGCTCAGTAGAATAAGCACTTGCCTGGCAAGTGCAAGGGCCTGAGTTCAAACCCCAGTTCTGCCCCCCCCCCCCAAAAAAAAAGAGTATATGATTAGTGTGTGCACCCAGGGAAACAAGTTAACAGGTGAATAAATAGGCAGAGTAAGGAATAATTAATTATAAGGCAGAGGTAACAAAGTAGATAAAATATCGCCTCTTGCTAGGTGTGGTGCTCATACCTGTAATCAGGAAGCTGAGGCAGGAAGATCACCATTTGTTTGAGGTTCACGTGGGCTACAGAGGGAGTTCAAGGCTAGCCTGAACTATATAGTGAGACACTACATCAAAAAATCAAAAGAAAAACTGCTTCTAAATGGGACAAGGGGGCTAGGGAAATGGCTCAGTAGAATAATTTTTTTTGCTTCCCTGGCAAGCACACGGGCCTGAGTTCAATCCCCAGGTCCGTCAATAAATAAATAAATAAATAAATAGACAGACAAGGAAAGGTAGAGAGAGTAGAAGGGCCAAAAGGGCCATGCGGTGTCCATGGGCACACAAATGGATATCATAAGCACCCTACCCCTTCCTCAATCTGCCAGCTTGAGCCCATCATCTAATAGCAAGAAGAGTCTGGCTGGTGCACAGAGGGGAAACAGCTCCTTGGCATGGGACTTGGAGAGTACTTACCTTTGGCTTTGCGTCTCTCGAAGGTAAGACGGAAGTCCTGGCAGTGGCAGCAGCAGTGCGTTTGGGTGGGGCAGCTGGTACTAAGCCTGATGCAAGACTCATGGGTTTTTTATTCGACCCACCAGAGGTGGTAGGAGCTGGCTGCTTAGGGACAGGAGTGAGCTGTGTTTTGGCTTTCGATGTTGAAGTCTTTGCAGGTTGAGTGTTGGCCAAAGGCTTTAGGTTGATTGTTGTTTTTTTTTTATATTTTATATTTTAATTTTTTAAAGACCAACATCAAACACACAGACAAGAATAAAAACAAATAAAAAAGTATAAATTGCACAATTCAAAGTAAAATTATAAACAATGAGGATGATGCAACTGAAAATTAGCATTTCTTTCTTCTGAGCTCAGAAAACAAAAACAATACCAGAATAGAATAGAAAGAAACTGGGGAGATTTTCTTTTTCTTTCTGGTGCTAGGGATTGAATCCAGGACTCACGCATGCCAGCACTCTCTCTACCACAGAGGTACATCACCAGTCTGTGGAAAAATTCTTTATTGACAGTGCCACAAATCCAACCGGTTTGGTACTTGAATATTTAACATCAGTAATAGGTTTATATTATTAGGCAACTTCTGGTAGCTGTCATACTTTCAGAAACAAAATTATCAGTGGGTTATTAAGGCAATCCTACTGTATCTTTTGGTGTTTTTTTGAGCCATGGAGTTGCTATGAGGCCAAAACTGGCCTTGCATTCACAATCCCACTTTGGCTTTCTGCTAGCTAGGATTACAGGCACATGCTTGTTCATTCTTATTTGTAATGCAGGGGAATGAGCTCAAGGCTACATCTCCAGCCCTTTTTCTTCTTTTGAGATTGTATCTTGCTGGGCTGGATTTTATGATCCTTCTGTCTCAGCCTCCCAGAACACTGGGATTACAGGTGTACATGATCACACTTGGCTATACTATCTGTATCCTGTTGTGACAACATCACTATATCCTAATATTCTAAAATGAACTTCAAAAAAAGTACAAGAGGGGCCGGGGAGATGGATCAGTAGGATAAGCGCTTGACTGGCAAACACAAGGATCTGAGTTCAATCCCCGGTTCCACCAAAAAAAAAAAAAAAAAAGTACAAGAAAGTAGCCAGTTATAGCAGTACACCTCTGTAATCCCAGCACTTGGGAGACTCAGGCAGGAGGATTGTTGAGAGTTTGAGGCCTGCCTGGGCTACATAGTTAATTCAAGTCCAGCCTCTACCAATACAGAGAGACCCTGTAAAAGAGGGCTGGCCAGATAGCTCAGCAGATTAAAGCACCTGCTTAGGCAGATACAGGGACCAGGTTTGATTCCCGGCATCCTGTGTGGGCTCTGCCCCTGGGGTGCTCTGAGACAACAAATGACACTGGGGGTGAAGTCCACCTGTAATTCCAGCATTTGGGAGGCTGAAAACAGGAGGATCACACTATGAGTCCCATCTGTAGTAAGACCCGATAGATCCTCTACTAAATACGTAAAAAAATAAAGTAAAAGAAGGTTTCAGGCGTGGGGGTGTGTCTACAGCTAAGAGCAACCATAAAACTCTAAATTCCTTTATTACTCCAATTGTCCTTTTGTAAGGACAACCTCAATACAAGTTTTTTAATAGATACATAAGATAAAAGGGTCAAAGGCAGAACATTTAAAATTTGGTTTAGATTGCAGAACATTTAAAATTTGGTTTAGATTGCTATGGTAAAGTGGAAATACTAAAGTATTTTCCGCTGGGTGTGGTGGCACACACACCTATGATTTCAGCACTCCGAAGGCTGAGGGGGGTGGTGCAGTGAGTTTGAAGCCCACACTGGGCTACACAGTGAGTTTAAGGACCACCTGAGCTATATTCACACCAAGAAAATTCTAAGCACATCCACACTTGAAGAAAGACTTGTACTGGCTCAGAAAAAAGAACATTCATGATTCAAGCAATAGTAGCAGAAGGCACTATTTTTAAAAAATTACAGCACTAGAAGATAACCATCATTCTGGCACCTACCTTGGTTTTTTTTTCTGGGCTTGGTGGGAGTTCCTTGTTTGGGGGGGTAGAGATGTCATTTCCGGTCACACTCACAGCCACCTTTCCCTCTTCTGGCCTGGCTATTCCTAAGGGTGGGTGGTAACTGGGAATTATTCAGAGCAAATATTTTTTATATCCATTCTGAAAGAGCTAGGCATAGCAGACAGAGCACTAACTCCCACTTCATTCGGAAAACAATTCCACAGGTTCGTGCTGCTGCAGCGCAGACAAGACTCCCAAGCTCTCACAGCGACACAGGACCACTAGATTCCAAAGATTCAGGGAGTTGTCCTAGTAGAGAATAGATCTAAGGGGGTTTTGTACAAATGATCAGAGGAAGAAAATGGCACTTGAAGTTTGGTTTCCCTTCCCTAGAGACCACAAAGAGGTACTGTCACCAATGAGTGCACACAAGGGACAAAAACCTCTTCTATGGAGTCCATCTCTGGAATAAAGGCTGCAGACAGATGGGGTAAAAGCCAGTATATCATCCCCTATCCTCCCGATACTTCCTCTCCCCGTGAAGAACGCTTTATGGAGGATGTGAGATTAAGCTGCTCCAGTTCCAGCAGTGACCCAGATTTGCAACGAGGCTGAGACCACACAACTGGACCCAGGGCTAGAAACAGTCACCTGCCTCAGGCAGCCCTGCCTCCTCCAGTGAAGGGGCTCCTGCGGATGTCAATGGGGCTGTGTCTGAAAGGACTGAACACCATGACATCCAGAACTGCTGTAGGGAAGTTACAAAAGGTTCAAAATCCAGCACCAAGAAAGTTAAGTATAAGTAAAAAGGTACAAGCTAAACAGAAAAAGATTGAACTTCATTCTCAATTTATAAGTCATTTCTTCAAATCAATGACTCTCATGAGAAAAAAATGAACAAAAGGATATGGACACAGTTTATAGGAGATAAAATGTCTTCTGAAAAATGTGCAAAAGATGTCTAATCTTAGGTATCAAGAGACAAGAAAATTAAAATTAGGTTAAATGCCCTTTTTGGGTGAGGGGTTAGAAACATCTTGTTGGGGTAACATGCTCCAAAAACAGTCAGTCAGTAAAACAGGTTGCAGAGAATATAGCCTATGAACAGCCCTCCCGCCTGAAAAAATAACACCAGGGGTTGAAATTTCCCTCTCCTTGGGCTTCTTGGGTATAAGATGTTTTGGCAGCTCTGTGTTTATCATCTGTGCATGGGACACCATGTCTGTGTCCCCTAAGCCGACTATGTAGTGGCTGTAGATGGCTGCAGGGCTCTCCTCAAACCAGCCCAGCCTAGACAAGATCTTTTCCCACCTCAAACATGGAACCAAAGCAAAGAGCAGGTAGGGCCCCCTCACTGAAGTGCTGGGCAGGGCCTGAAATGCTAGTTTCAGCCATGCATGATGGCACATGCCTGTCATCCTAGCTTCTAGGACCCTGTCACAAAACAAAACAAAAGAACACAGCTTAGTGGAAAGGTCCTGGGCTCAATCTCCTGTACCTTAAAAAAACTGAGAAAAAGCTCTTGCTAAGGCAATGTATTACCAAACGTTCTCATCTGAAAATAAGCACTGGGCTAGGGAAGGGCCCTGCTGGTAACACTAGTGAACCGGCCCACCGGCAGGGCAGTCTGATCTGATCATGGCTCTGAAAACCGCACTGTAGGAAAATTTCAACCCAAAAATGCTATTTCTAGAAGCTCATTTTAGAGATATATTTCACACAATGGAAAATATGGAAGTTTGTACATCAGATAATTTTCTAGAATGGTAAAGCACTGAAACAACCTTTCAAAGTCAGTTCACAGAAAACAAAAATATCATGGCTACAATTCCAGCTATTTGGGAGCCCAAAGCAGGAAGACTCCAAGTTGGAGACCAGGCTCTGATGCAGAATAAAATAAGCAAGGCTAGGCCTGAGTTCAATCCTTGGCACCATGAATAAACAACCCAGAAATATCAGTATTATGCTTTATTCCGAGAAAAATAAAGCACAAGAAGATTCTTTGATGACTGATACGGAGTCATCCTTAGCAAGGGAGAAGCAACTAAAAAGAGCACACAAGAGTATGCATAGCACGAGACCATTTGTCAGAAAGGGTTGGGAGAGAGACACTTGATAACACCGCTGTGTACACACAAACTGGTAGCCTAAGTTTTTTAGAGCTTATTCAATTTTTCTAGTCTTACACTCATTTGTATATACTTCTATTCAATTTTATATGTCATTTCATGTCACCTATACCAACAAGGAACAGTTCGTTCTCACCCCCAGTCCTAAAAGAGAAAGACGGAGATTCTGACATTAAGTATGATGTGAAGTGTGGTATCAGGCTATCTGGAAAAACTAGGGTCTTGCTCTGCCGACCAGACTGGCTGGAAGTCCTGGGTTTAGATACGCCCACCTCCGCGCCTCACTCTGCCCACTGAGCCTGGCTGGTGCAGGTTTCCTGTGGAGGTCGATTAACTTGCTGCTCTATTTCCAGTGTTAGGAGTTTTTCTCATGAATGAGTACTGCAGTCCGCTGAGTGTTTTTTCTGTGTCTATGATTTTCCTTTTTTATACTGCACGTATGGTGGGTTATTTCTGTTATTTTGATTATTGAATCAATTTTGTATATTTAGAATAAGCCTCACTTGGCTGTTATAAGTTTTTCCTATACTGCTCAGTGTGATTTGGTAAGATTTTTTGTTAGAATTTTTTCATGCAACTTTGCAATAGCAACTACTTTCAAATTTTCAATTTTTTTAATACTGTCTTTGTCTGCTACTGGTAAAAAGATATTGACCCGATAGATTTAGGAAGTGCTCCTTATTATTTTATGAAAGAATTAGTATTAATTATTCATTCAGTGAATAGTAAATTCCCAGTAAAGCAATATGGACTGAGGATTTTTTTAGGATTTTCTTTTCCTTTCTTTTTTTCCTTCCTCCTTTCTTTATCTCTCTTTCCTCCTCCCTTTTCTTTTGTCTCTCTTTCTGTGTTAGGTGGGTACTGAACACAGGGCCTTGTGCTAAGCAAATGTTTTATCACTACACCCTCCACCTCCTTTTTATTTTTTTCTTTTTGTTTGTCTGTTTTGTGGTACCAGGGATTGAACTGAGAACCTTGCACTTGCCAGGCAAGTACTTATTCCACTGTGCTATCTCCCCAGCCCCTCAACCTCCTTTTTATCTGTGGGACAGAACATTCTAAATTGCTCAGCCTGGTTAAAACACAATTCTCACCTGGACATGGTAACACACATCTATAGTCCTAGCACTTGGGAGGCTGAGGCAGGAGAACTGCTGTGAGTTCAACGCCAGCTGGAGTGATATAGTGAGTTCAAAGCAAGCTGAACCAGACCCTGTCTCAAAAGACCACAACAGAATTCTCCAATAAAATTTGTTATTTTATTTAGAAACATGATCTTGTTATATAGTTCAGGGTGCCCCTGAACTAACCATATAGCCCAGGCTGGTTTCCAATTCACAGCAATCCTACTGCCTCAGCCTCCCCAGTGCTAAGATTACTGGTTTGTACCACCACACCTGGCTTATTTATTTTTTGTGATACTGGGGATCAAATCCAGGATTTTGCAGATGCTCCCAAGCATTCTCCCACTGAGCTACACCCAGATCTCATCTTTTTCTTCTTCTTCTTTTTTTTTTTTTTTTTTTTTTTGCGGAACCAGGGATTGAACTCAGGCCCTTGTGCTTACCAGGCAAGCACTTATTCTACTGAGCCATCTCCCTGGCCCCGTAAAGTTTTTTTTAGGGCTTGAAATTCTTTTTTTCTGCTTTTGAGGAACCGGGGATTGAACTCAGGCCCTTGTGCTTGCCAGGGAAGCGCTTATTCCACTGAGCCATCTCCCCGGCCCCCAGACCTCATCTTCTGAGACAGGGTTTCTTTAAATTGCTCAGGATGGGATCCAACTTGAGCTCTTTATGCCTCAGCCTCTAAAAACTGGAATTACACTCGTACACTACTGAGTCTGGCTTTCTGATTTTTTTTTTTTTTTTAAGACAGGATCTTGCTTGCCTTGAAATCACCTCACAGCCCAAGCTGACCTCAAACTACCTGTAATCCTGCCTCAAGTGTGCACCTGGGTAACAGTGAGTACACTGCTTTGGATGTACTGCTTGCCCTAGTTATTGCATACAATGTACACATAAGCTACTGAAACCATTCTTCTGTTTATGACCTTTAACTCTTACCATTTAAAAAATAAAATAAATATTTCCTTTCCATACACTGAGCACTTCAACAGAATGTAGTATGTTTATTTCAATCATCAAATAAGCCTTAAAAACTCCTGACAAAGAAGGTCTATTATAGTTCTTGCTTTTACCCACTCCATTTCTATTCTTTCACTTATGAAATTCCCAGCTTCCTCCTATTATCTTTCTAGCGAGCACCCTTTAGCCATTCTCTAGGGCATGTCTTCCAGCAGCAATACTCTGTTGGTCTTTATCTGAGAATCTTTATTTTCCTTTCATTCTCAGATAATTTTACCAGACACAGAAATTGACAGTTCTTTCAGCACTTGAAAAGCTCTGTTCCACTTCCTCTATGATTTTTAAGACTTCTATCTTTTTGTTTCCTTTACAAAAATAGTTGTTAAAAGTCTGTGAGATGTCTTGGTGTGACTTGTATTTATCCTATTGGGCATGTTCAATCTCTTGAATGTGTATGTCAATGTCTTCTGCAGTTTTCAGGGTTTTTTTAAATTTAATTTTATTTTTTAACATGCAGTCCAGGCTACCTTGAAGTCACTATGCAGCCCAGGCTGACCACAAACTCCTGGTGATTATCTTGCCTCAGTCTCCTGAATACTGAGATTATGGGTGCATGTTACCATTCCCAGGTTCAGTTATTATTTCTTTTGCATAATATTCTCTAGGACCCTAATGACACAAATGTTAGATATTTTGTTACCGTCCCACAGGTTTCTGGGAATCTATTCATGTTTTGGTCTATTTCTTCTTGGTTATTCAGACTTCATAAATTTTATTGATTTATCCTAAAATTTAGTGGTCTTTTTTCCAGAAATAGGGACTAAACGCAGGGGTGGCTCTATCACTGAGCTACATGGCAGCCCTCTTTTATTCTGAGAGAGGCTATCCCTT